ACGGTCGTTGCGTCCGGAAGCATCAAAGTGAAGGTCGGCCCCGCGAGAGGCTTCAAAATCAGTTGGATCCTGGAGGTGTCTTGCTTCGCCGGCGGCGCCGCGCGGGCACCATCGCACTTCGACAGCAGCGACTCGTCGCCAATCGTCTCCGGAGGCGGGTGGGGAGAAGCCAGCACAGACGAGTCCGCGTCCGGCCGCTCAGCGGACGTCACCTTCTCGACGTCCGCCAGCACCTCCGCCTCGGCCTTCGGCGCGGGCGACGCGGGCTTGCCGTCGGCCGACGGGCTTCCGGCGGGCGCACTCGCGATGTCGCACTTTGAGTCAACCGAGCGCTCCTCCTCGCGCCGATCCGTCTTGGCCCCGCCCGCCTCCTCGCGCGGCGGCGCGCTCTTGGCCGCCTCCTCCTGTGCCGCCTGCGCGCCCTTCTCCTTTGAGGCTGCAGCAGCCGAGGCCGTCGAGTGCTTCGACTCCTCCAGGCAGTCTGGCCGCGCCTTGGGGGGAGTGTAGCCCCGACCGTAGGGGTCGGAGCGGGCGTTGACCCGCCGGCGGTAGCTCGAGGACTTCCCGCGCCGGCCTTGGATGGAGCTGCCGTCGCCCACTGGTCCCACAGACTTCAAGAAGGTCTTGCCCGTGGAGCGCCGCCCGATGGAGCCGGCATTGTACGCTCCGGCGTGAGGGGTGGGGTACATGCGGCCAGTGGCGCACGCCGACTCCTTTGTCTCGTCCGGCGCCTTGCGTGCCGGCTCCGGCTCCGGCGAGGGCTCGACCGGCTCGGGCACCTCAGGCACCTCCGCCTCTGCTGCCACCTCCGGCTCCTCTTCGTCCTCAATCAGCCACTCGATGGCTGCAACCCGCTCCTCGAGGCTCCCCTCGCTCGCCTCGCCAAGGCTGGCCTCGAGCTGCTCGACGCGCCGCTCAAGACTCTCTCCGGTCCCAGCCTCGCTCCAAATCTCCTCCTCGCACCACGCCACCCGGCGGGCTAGCTCCTCCAGATTCTTCTCGCCGCCGTCGGCCGGCTCCTTGCTGTGCGCGCGAGCCGCACGGTCGGCCGCCGCATAGTCGATGTGAACTACGACTCTCTCGGAGTCGTCACTCGCTGCAGTGATCGTCAGTATGGCCATCTCCTGCTGCAGCGAGGGGTGGCGCAGGGGGCGGCATTATGGATGGACGGCGGCGCTGTGGCCGATGCATCGCGCTCACGGTTGGTCAGGGACGGTATGGCGGTCGCGCGACATTGGGCTGCGGCCCTAGCCGGAGGCGAGTGCGGCTGTGTCTGAACTGGGCCGCACGCGGTGGGAGGCAGCGCACGATCTGGACGGATGTCCGCGGTTGCACTGCGGCTAGAACTCAAGGCCGCGACAGGGGCGCTTTTGGCGGGGATATATTTTTCTCTTGTGTCACAGGACGCGTATCGTGTTCGTGAGCGACGTGGAGCGGAATGGCCGGGAAACAGGCCGAGGGGTCGAGGGGGTCGAGGGGTCGAGGGGGGCCTCGACCCCTCGGAGGCCCCCTCCGGAGGGGTCGAGGGGGCCTCGACCCCTCGACCCTCGGAGGGTCGAGGGGTCGAGGGGTCGAGGGGTGCGAACTTTTTCCGCGGCGTGCTGCGGTAATTTACCTCCCAGTTCCTGGCTTCCATTGCCTTCGTCCCAACAGCATGTCAGCGCCCTCCAAAACGCTCACCATCACCATGTACCGCGAGCTGCTGCGAGGATCCGAGCGCGTGAGGGCCATCATGCGACCAGGCCACGTCGCGGTCGTCGGCGAGTGCGTACGGCGCTTCGCCGCCGAGTCGAGATCTCCGCACCTCGCTGCAGCAGCGTCTCTCCACGGCGCCGCGTGCCTGCCTGAGCTAACGCGGTCGAGCTTCCGAGGGCGGGCGGATCAGCCGGAGCGGGCTGCGGGCCGGTCGGCAGCCGGCTCCGCCATCGACGACGGCTTTGCGGCGCTGCGGCTCCTGTCGTCTCTCGAAGCGTGGATTGTGGAGAGTGAGCTCGCGGCCGCCCTCCCCTGACGCCGCAAGAAGGCCCCTCCAACCTCCGCCTCGCATCGCCCCTCAGACAATGTGCTCTACGACCGCGTCCAGAGCGAAGGGGCGGCGTGGCTGGATTTCGGCGACAGTGCGGCGGCGGCGGCCCCGCCGGCGCCTTGGGAGACGTGCGAGGCGGAGGAGGCAGCGTACTTCCTCGACTACAGCGCGCTCTACCGTGGATCGTCACTCATGGCAGCAGGCGGCGGCGCTTGAGGCGCCCCGGGCAGCTGGCGCGGGCCAGTCGCGGGCCAGAGGCCTCTGCCGCGTGAGCGGCAGGGCCGCCTGAGCGGCAGGAGCCGAGGGTTAGGCAGCATTGCATGGGGAGGTAGGGTCGCGGTCGGCAGCGCGAGCGCGCTCTCTCCGCGGCGAGGGGGCGCGACTACTTTATTCGGCGGCAGGGAGCATAATCAGACGGTGCCGCGGCCCGCGGGGCGGGAAGGTGCTGCTGAGCTAGCTGCTGAGATCGGGTCGGGGAGGGTAAGGTAAGGTAAGGTAAACTTCTCCACACACACGAGGTGGTGGGGCAAGGGGGGGCAACCCTCGCGTCTCCACGTCCGACGACAGGAGCCCCACGGCATTCAAAGTGCAAGGCCCAGTGCGCGTGGGTGAGCGGTGTGTGTGTGTGTGTGTGTGTGTGTGTGTGTGTGTGTGTGTTTGTGTGTCACTGTGTGTGTGTGTGTGTGTGTGTGTGTGTGTGTGTGTGTGTGTGTGTGTGTGTGTGTGTGTGTGTGTGTGTGTGTGTGTGTGTGTGTGTGTGTGTGTCTCACGTCACTGCATCCTCCGCCGGTTCCTCCCGTCGCCTCTTCTTTGTTCGAATGTTTTTCAATCCATCCTTCACGAAGCCCTCCCATGATGGCATCAAAATCCCATGTAGCTAGCGTTCTTGGCGAATGTCTCGAAATTGCCAGCAGGCGCTGTCTGCTCGCGGTCTGTGCGGGCCGCTCGTCCTCCTCGCCCTTCTTTCGTCCTCCCGTCCCTCCCCTCCACCATGGCCTTCTCGGCACTTCTTTCTCCATCCGCCTCGCCCTGCCTTTTCGCATCGTGCCGTTCGCCCTCCATTCGGTGACCTCCATGGCTGTCCGCCCCTTTTTGGGTGGCGCTCTCGATACGGTTGCGTCAACCTCGACGTCGCTGTCGCCCTCCCCGTCCCCGCCGGCGTCCGTGCCTCGGTTCGCGTCATCGGTAGCGTCTCCGTTGTTCCCTCGTGCCCCGCCGTCGCCCTCTCTGCTCGGGCCGTTAGCGATTTCGCTCCTCCTGCGTGTCGCCCCTCCGTCCCCTCCCCTTTCTTCGTCGTCATCGTCGCTGTCGCGAAAGCCCTCCGGTCCCTCGATTCCCTCGCCTATCCCCTCCGCTGCGTCGTCCCAGTTTATATCCTCATCCTCTGCGCACGTCGCGTTGGCTTCCTCTCTCCCCCTTTCCTCCCTGCCCCTCTCGCTGTCTGGTGTTAATGGACTCCCTTCCTCTCCCTCGCCACCGTCACCGTCTCCATCCCCGTCGCTACCGCCCTCCATGCCCGCCGCCCTTTGTTTCACACTCGTCTCTGCCATGTCCGCCGTCGCCGCCGTCCTGTCTGCTGCGCTCTGTGCTCCGTGGTACAGTCGCTTATTGTTGCTCAGGATTAGCTCACGCACCAGGACAGCCTCCTGCTCGTTATTTTGGCTTGCCGATATGCATCCAAAGTTCCACGCTAGCTCCTCCTTCGTCACGTCTATCTTTTTGCAGTATCTCGCGAATGCCGTCCGCGCTTGCTGGGGTGTTATTGCGTTCGGATCCGCCTTCGTCCCCGCCTTGTATCCCATCTCCTTGCGGTGGCTCTTGTATGAGTCCCCATATGACCATGTGATTTCTTGGCCTTCCTTGACTCCCCTTTCTGCAAACAGGACCATCACCTGCGCAGCTGCCTTGCCTAATTGTACCTCCTCGTAGCGTACGAAGTGCGTCGCCCTCGTGCCTCGTTTCGGCTCATTCGATGCTGCAGGCCAATCGAAGTTACAGCGCGCCGCGACGCTGTCAAAGTCGTCCCCGCTCTCGTCGTCACTTCCATCCAGCTGCGTCCCCCCTGCTGCCGTGTGTCGTGATAGTTCGTCTGGTACTGTCTCTGGTGGCTGCGCCGTTCCTGTCCGGAAGATCTCCCCAGTGTAGATGCTACACACCTCAAATTTCTCTAGCCTCCTCGTCGCCAGTAGGCCGAGTTCCCCTTCCGCTATGCTAGAGGGGCCTACCTTCGCCCCTTCCACCGTGCCGCCCGTCGTTAGCATGGCCGTCGTTACTTTCGCCGCCGCCTCTGCTGCTTGTCGGCGGAGCGCCTCGCGCCTTCCCTCGTCTCCATGCTCCTGGTCTTGTTCTTTTTGTTTTCCTGCGCTTCCTGTCGCTGGTCCGGCGACGTATCTTGCCGTCTGCCTTCGCTTCCTGGCGGGCCGCGTTTCCTCCCCCTCGTCCCGTCTGTTTTCTCCTGCGTGGTCGCCCTCGCGTGCGCCGCTCGCCGTCTGTTCTCCTCTCTGCTCGCCGTCCTCGTCCCCTCGCTGTCGTCGCTTCCCTCCGGCGCTCGCCGCATCGTCGTTCCTATCACCGCGTTTCCTGCGCTGGCCTTCGCCTTCGAGCTCGCAGTGGGTCGTTTTGAGTGTCATCCCCATCGCTCTCGTCGTTCTGCCTCTCCCCGCTTCGAGGCGTCTCTCTGCCTCTTCCCTTTCCTTCTCCTCGGCATCACGTTGTCGATGTCGCCTCCGTCGCCAGCAAATACACGCATTCGCCGCCCACTCCATTTCTCGTATCCTCTCCTTCCTTTCCTTCTGTCCCTCTCTCAGGCGTTCTGTTTCCGCGGCTACTCGTTCCTTCCTCTCCGCCTCGAGTCCCTTCCTCTTCCCTTCCCGTACTTTGATTATTGATGCCGCCGTCTGCTGCAGTGCCTTGAGTGAAGTCACCACCCGTGTGTCATACTCCCTCATGATGTCTTCTGGCGGGTCCTCCATCCTTATCCAGCCCTTGTTGTTGTACTTGACCTCGCAGTCGCTAAACTTCATCACCTTCAGGCACGACTCGCGTAGCTTGTGCGGAAACGCACCCCCCCGATACTGTGTGTTTCCCCAGCCAACCACCACCGCCTCGGAGTAGAGCCACCGATCGTACACCGAGTATTCGATCGAGTCGAGCTGCACCAGCTGCGTCTCTGCACACTCCACATGGCCGGCCAGGTGTAGAATGGCGATGTCGTTCTGGTCTGTGAGACGGCCGCGACGAGTGAGGAGGAGGTGGCGCGGGCTTGGGACGGACCGGGGAGGCGTTGGGGGTGGCAGACCGCTAATCATGTCGTAGTCGTGATGCTTGGTGATGGTATCCACTTTGATCCAGCCCGAGCACGTGTCGGTCTCGACCTCCTCGTGATCAGGGTCTGAGGGCAGTTGACGAGCACTGTGAGGTGGGAGCCCTGGTAGGCATCGGCATCGGTCACGGCGGGGCCGGTTTACCGTTCAGGTTCCAGCGGTGGACGCCAACCCAGAGGAAAGGGGCGTTGGCCTTATTCATCTGAGGAGAGTACCTGCGAGCAGAACGGCGGAGGTGTGATGCCAGCACCCAGCCTCACGCTGGGTTGGCTGCGCACCAGTTGTAGCCATTCGAGTTGAAGCAATGTGCAGCTGTAAGCACGACGTTCGTTGCGATGAGCGAGCCGCCGCAGAAACCGCAGGGCTGCCACCCCGTTCCGAACCCGATTCCTCCTCCTCCGCAGTGTTTCATGTCCGCGTAGCTCGGTGGGCCGTTTATGTTTTCAGACCGTCTGAGCGACACAACGTGCGTGTACTTGTGCGGTGGCGCCGTATCGCCTTTGATCACGAGCTCGCGCGAGTCGCGTGGCACCGCGAACACGAGAGCAACGGCCAGCAGCATGTTGTGGCGGGCTCCCAATGTGGACGTGCGTAAAATCGATGTTCTGAAAGAATATTTTTTCCTCGAGGCCGAACAGGTAGACCCTCCCTGATCGCAAAGCTACCACAGGGCGGACAGGGGGCGGCCAGGTAGTAGACGTCGTCCGCCGCCGCCTCCGCCACCCGCGTGCCTCCGCCCCGCTCAGAATTACGAGATAGATATCAGTCAGGAGGTGCCAACACCAGCAGCATCAGTAGGAAGCAAGCAATATTTTTTCCGGGTGCTTAACCGCCCCTTTCTCCCACTTTACTGGGAGAAAAGGAGGCGCGATTCTCTCTCCCCTTAATTAAGCTACGCACGTGCATCGTGCATGTGCATGTGCATGTGCATGTGCATGTGGAGAAAGAAACCATATTTATCAAAATTATCATGACATTTTCTTTTGACTTTTCTTCCCCATCACATGCGCTCGCAGGCCTCAGCTGCCTGGGGCAGCCAAACACACACCACGCAACCGCGATAGGGCCGCACTCACTCAAAACACCGCTGTCTATACTGTCGGTCGGTCTTCGGAGGCGGCAGCGTGGTGGAGAACAGAGATTGGGGGCGCGGAATCATGCTCGGCTCACCGCCGGGGGCTACCTCGTCCTCGAGAGAGTCATGACCGAGCCCGCACCGCCGCAGCAGCCACTTCTCTCACAGCCGCTGAGACATAGACAACTCATTAGACCCGCGGCCGTTCGGCGCCTATAAAGACGAGACAGGGGCACTCATAAGGGTAGGGTTGTGCAGAGGGTTCGCCTCGCGGCCGCCGAAACTTATACGTTCGACGGCCCACGGCCAGACGACCCCTATAAACGGGGCAGGCCGGCGAGTAGGTAAGAGAGTCGTTGACAAGGCGACGGGCGTGAGGAGGGTTCGCCCCCAGAGGCGAGAGAGCTAGCTAGTCTTGGCCTTGAGCGTGGAGATCATGGTCCCCGATGTTCCGCGATGTTTTCCTTGTGTGGCGGCTTACCCGCCGGCTTACTGCTAGGAATATTCCTAGGGTGCGCGCGCCCGCGCGTGGAATTCTTTGGGGCAAAAGACGTCTGCGGCGAGCAGGTAGCTGAGGACGCCTGATGCCAGTGTACAAGAAGCTGACAGTAGAAATACTGAGAACATGTGTCGCGAGGGAAGGTAGCGGAGGGACGCCGTGGTTGATGAAGGCGACCGCCATGAAGAAGGCGGCGAGGAAGTTGAGCAGCGACCAGTACCTGGAAGTGTCTAGGAAGTGTCTCGGAAGTGTCTAGGAAGTGTCTAGGAAGTGTCGAGGAAGTGTCGAGGAAGTGTCTAGGAAGTGTCTAGGAAGTGCCTAGGATCGAAGTGTCTAGGAAGTGGAGCAGCGACCAGTAGCAGTACACCTGGCCGCACACCACGAGGCGAGAGGCGAGGGAGAGGCGAGCGCTGAGACTCCAACGAGCAAGGCCAAGGGGGGAGCGCATCGCATAACTGCACGGTGTCACAGACACACCGCGAGTGTCAGAGAGAGTGGGGCTAGACTGATCTGTGAGCGAGCGAGCGAACGGGCGCGCCATTCGATGTCATCGACGTCCTCGATGGTCCAAACGATTGTGAGGGCGGCCCAGATGCCTGCGGAGCAGGGAGGGCGGGCGCGCGGTGCCAGTGTGAGAGCAGAGGCGGGGTGTGTGTGGCGGCGTCCGGCGTGGGCATGCAGCGTGAGAGCTGAGTGTGTGGTGGTGGGCATGCGAAGCGCGAGGGAGAGGGGGTGGTTTTAGCAGAGCTAGGCGCGTACCGTATCCGGCGAAGGCCGCGCACGAGCAGACGAGGGCCAGGAGCAGGGCGACACGGCCATCGCAGCATCGGGCGACAAGGCCGCCGATCAGCCCGACGCCGGCGATGCAGATCTGGCCGATGCCGGACCGCCAGGCCTCGGCGTCGTCAAACACGTCGTCTGTTTGCTCAAAGATGACGTTGATCACACCGATGATGAGCACGACGGTGTTCCACGTGATGGCAAAGGAGGCGGCGGCCTACCAGCGGGTGTTTTCGGCGAGTCGGAGAATGAGCGGTGCTCGTCCGACGCTGCCCCCTCCGCCGCGGCCGCCGCCGTCGCAAAAGAGGTGTGTGTGTGTGGTAGCCCGCTGCTCACCGGGATGTTTGGCTTGGTGATGCACATGCGAGGCACGCAGCAGATTGCCCGCTTGCAGAAGCCCTCCTTTTCCTTACCCACCATCTGACGAGATGTGCTGTTCTCTTGAGTGCAATCTGTGCTCTTGCGGACCGCCTTCTTGACGCGCCGTCTTCTGGTAGAAAGAAAACATGGGATTTGACACTCGCCTACTCGAATTCTTTTACAGCTGTCGCTTCGGCTGTGCCACTGCCACATCACCGTGTGTCTCGCGCTTTGCGCCGCCTTCACTCCCGGTTGAACCGCCCCCGATATGGCGCGTTTACGTCTGCGCCACCTCCTCCTCCTCTCCGCCGCTCTGGCGTCCGCACGGAGCCACGGCTCCATCTTTGACGCCGTCGCCGCCGACAGCATGCAGAAGCTCAAGGCGGCCCTCGAGGCAGACCCGAGTGCGCTCGACGTCACCGGGCCGGGAGGACAGAGCCCGCTGATGCACGCCGTTCTCACTGGCAAGGCCAAGGCGGTCAAGTACCTGCTAAAGCGCGGCGCTGACGTCACCGTCCCGGAGAAGGCGACTCGCCGCCGCACGCTCCACAGAGAGCGGACGGAGACACACATTGATTGGCCACCGGCGCCTTTGTAGGACGGGTACACTCCGATGCATGGCGCTGGCTTCCAGGGCCGCGCAGAGATCGCGAGGCTGCTGATGGCGCACGGCGTCGACGCGTGGGCGAGCCTGACACTTCTGTCTCTACCTCTCGTCACTATTCTCTCTCTCTCTCTCTCTCTCTCTCTCTCTCTCTCTCCCTCCCTCCCTCCCTCCCTCCCTCCCTCCCTCCCTCTCGCTCGCTCGCTCGCTCGCTCGCTCTCTCGCTCTCTCTCTCTCTCTCTCTCTCTCTCTCTCTCTCCCGCTCGCTCGCGCTCGCGCTCTCTCTCTCTCTCTGTTCTCTGTTCTCTGCTCTTATACACACGCCGTATCTTCTCTCAGGACGTGCACTCCGACGGGCACGCCCCGATGCAGCGCGCCTGCTGGGGCAGCTGCCGAGCTTGCGCGCGGAAGCCGCTCTGACCAGTGTGTCAGAGCTGTGCGGTGCGTGTGGATAGGCGGCGAGCCGCGGCACACCGAGACTGTGGCGGTGTTTATCGAGGCGGGCGCGTCGGCGGAGGCGCTCGAAAAGTGCGAGGCGGCGACGAGGAACGCGGCCACCAAGGCGGCGGTGGCGCGCGCGGTCGAGGCGTCGAAAAAGGCGGAGCTGTGACCTCTGAGATTGAAAAGAGTGGGGTGGAAAGGGGAAGTAGGAGAGGGAAAAGGGAGTGTGAGAGACCTGTCAGCGGGGCATCTCTTCAGGAAAAGTCTGCGTGTGGTGGTGGAGAGTTTTCGACCGTGGAGCTCGCAAACTTTTTTGATAAAGTACACCTTTCACACGCCGGACACCGCCATATCCCATATGCTCACCGCCGGCACCGGCGTCACCGCCCAGAGCCCTCTCACACAACTTCATTCACCGCCCGCGCTCGCTGCATGCCATGACCCCCCCATATGTGCATCTGGTGGTTCATGCATCTGGCGTTGTTGTGGCGATTCACCGATTCAGTATTTCAGAGACTGCGCCAAATCCCATGACTCCTTACAGTGAAGTGTCAGCCACGACACGCTGTGTCCTGTGATCCTGTGAACTGGGGCTACGTAGAACGTAGTGCGTGCCGAGCGCGACCGTTTAGGCCTCAACCTCCCCCCCCCCCCACCCCCCCACCCACCCACCCACCCAAATGTCACACCAGCTGCGGCTCGTCCCACCGCCCCATCTCGTCCAGCTTGAGAAAGGCGTCGGGGTGGTCCGAGATGCCAGAGTGCTGAAAGTAGTTGCTCACCCACAAACGGACGCGCGGGAAGCCGCCAAGAAGTTCTGCTGTCTCCTCTGAGAAGGTGCGCTCCACGTAGACATCGTCATACGCAACCAGCGCCGCCACCGGACTCGTGCCCGACGCGAGGGCGGAGCGGTTATACACGTGCCCCCAGTCCTCCTTGGCGGCGAGCAAGTTGGCCGCGCCCTTCAGCGGCCTCAGCCACGCATAGTCGTCCGCCATCCACGAGAAGACCATCTCGCCAGTCAGGAGCACCGGCTCGGCGCCGGCCTCCAGCCTCGTCGTGTAGTCCCACGCCGGGCCGAGGGACGCCTGTACGCGCTCTGCCGCCCAGCGCGAGGAGACGCCCGGGCCGTCGCAGTAGATTGGCTCGTGCAGCAGGTAGTAGAGTGGGTTTGTCTCGAACCCCTGCTGCGCAGCCTCGACGGCCAGTAGCCAATTTTGCGACAGCGTGCGTACTGGCCCTGAGGCTGGCCGCGCCTGCTCGAGGAGGTTGTGCAGCGTCTCTAGGCCAGAGGCTTGCCCGAGCATCAGGCCGAGCATGAGGAAGCGTCGCGGCGTGAGCGTCCCGCCCCGCGGCAGCGGAGCGGGCGAGGCGTGAAGGAGCGCCACGATCTGACGCACCGTCTCAATGTCGGCGGGGTATCGCGAGTAGAATCTGAGGTTGCGGTACTCCATCCGTTGAAAGGTGTGTCGATATACCTCCTCAGCGGTTCGCAGCACAGGTGCCAGCCCAAAGGTGAACAGAGCGCGCTCCACCCCGTGCGGCGCCAACGAGAGGTAGGTGAGGATGCAGAACCCACCGAACGACTGCCCCAGCAGCGTGAGCTTGCGGCCGACAGCGATGCGCTGCCGCACAATCTCGCAGTCGCGCACGATGGAGTCTGCTCGGAAGTGCGCTAGCAGCGCCGCTTGCTTCTCGGGCGTTCCCAGCGCCGCCAGGCTCTCGATGGTTACCGGCGAGGAGCGGCCGGTGCCACGCTGGTCGAGGAGGAGGACGCGGTACTTGCGCAGCGCGAGAGGCAGCCAACCGCTCGCCGGAACGCTGAGGCGGCCGGCTGGGTGGCCAGGACCCCCTTGTAGGTAGAGCAGATACGGAAGCTCTTGGTCCCTCGTGCTGGCGGCGCGGACCTCCCGCACAAAGAGCTGGATTTTTCCGGCGACGGGGTCAGCGTGGTCTAGGGGCACGTCGAGGGCGTGCTCCGTCACCGTCAGGTCCCCAGGCAGCATCTCGGTCGGCACCGCCTCATGCGAGGGCTTGGCGGCAACGAGAGCCTCCTTGGAAGGAGGTACCTGCAGCGCCTGTCTCGGAGAGGCTGCGCCGGCTGTGATGCGAGACGCTGCCATGCGCGGGTCATTGTCGAGGGAGAGCAAAGAGACAGATGCGGCACCGAGAAGTGCCGCGGTGCTAAGTGCAGTGAGGGCTGCGATCGCATAGATTGCCCGGCCAAGGCGCGTCCCAACGGCAGGCCTGGCCACGTTACCGTGAAGCAAGTATGATGCGGAGAGCTCGCGCGGCGCCTTCATATTGCGGCCAGACACACGGGGACGCTGCCGCCGCCGGGGACGGCCGCGCCTCGTCCGTCGCTGAGCGAAACGCACCACAGCGGGGCGTGTTGCGGCGAGACACACGGGGACGCTGCCGCCGCCGGGGACGGCCGCACCTCGTCCGTCGCTGAGCGAAACGCACAGCGGGGCGTGTTGCGGCGAGACACACGGGGACGCTGCCGCCGCCGGGGACGGCCGCACCTCGTCCGTCGCTCGAGAACGCAACGCGGGGAACCGGGGAACAATGAGGTTCGGGGCGCGCGGGGGGGGGGGGGGGGCATTTGGTTTTACGCTGCGAAGTCCACAGAGTGTTAATATAGAGGCAGAGAAGCTGTGCGCCCTTGCCAACATCCACGATCACCGATGCGATGGTCGCTAACGACTAGTGCACATAAGCTAGGTGGCGACCCGACCGAGCAAAGCAGTGGTTGCATTTTTCGTCGAGAGGCCACTGTTCGCGCGTCGCCGCTAGACGAAGGCGGATTGCTGCTTCGCGGTGTACGAGACGCGGCTCGAGGTCCCCACTGCCGCCGCCGACTCTCGTACCGACAGTGGCTCGGCCTTGTCACCTGGAGCAACGTCGTCCGCCGCGGGGGTGACGGTGCCCGTGGAGCGGCGACGGCGGTTGAGCGCAACTGCGGCGAGGGCGAAGCCCACGCCGAGTAGGAAGCCGCAGAAGAAGTCGAGGGTACGCGCAGACGCTCACGTTCGCGGACGCGGGCCAGCTCAGCGCCCTCGTCGCGAGCACTTGCATGCACGAGATCTACTGCCGAGTGCGCCAACGCTTTGAGGATATGGTGAGTGCGAGCGGGCTACTCCGCCTACAAGGCCCTTCGGGACTACCACTAGCCGGTGGCCATATTTCATTTGACTTGCCGCAAGTCACTTTGTCGAGCAAGCACCAGTGACCGGCTTGGCTGGGGGACCTGACGGGTTGAGTGGGATCTGGGAACAGGGGGGCGACCGGGGTGTTTGCCAGGGGGGCGCGCTGCCAACGAATTAATAAATACGAAGGTGCCGACTCGCCCGTTAAATTCTTTTCCGCGAGGGGGCGGCACGAACACACATATATGTCCACGAGCGACGCGGCCGCACGGGCTGCGCACGCGAGAGAGCTCGCGGCCAAGCTCGCCGCCGGCGAGCTCTCCAAGAGCGCGGCCAAGCGGCTCAAGCGCCTCGAGGAGCACGACCAGCGCAAGGAGCGGCGAAAGACCGAGAAGAAGCGGCGCAAGGACGCGCGGCAGGCGCAGCCGGCGGGCGAGGACGCGGCCGCCACGGCCGCCGCGAGCGCTGCCGCCGAGGCTGCCGCCGAGGCCAGCGCCGCGTCCGCCGTCTCGCGCACGCCTGAGCAGGCTGCGGCTGCGGCGTGGGCGTGGTGGAGGAGCATCGGCTCTCCGACCCGTGTGCTGGCGCCGATGGTGAACCAGAGCGAGCTGGCCTTCCGGCTGCTCGCACGGCGGCACGGTGCGCAGCTCTGCTACACACCGATGCTCCACGCCGCCAACTTTGCCTCGGACGAGGTTTACCGGCAAGACAACTTTGACCCTCACCCGTCTGACCGGCCACTGGTCGTGCAGTTCTGCGGAGACGTGCCTGCCACGCTGCTCGCCGCGGCCAGGCACGTCGAGGCGCGCTGCGACGCCGTCGAGATCAACTGCGGCTGCCCTCAGGGCATTGCGCGGCGCGGGCACTACGGCGCCTTCCTCCTCGACGAGCCGGACCTGATTGTCTCGATGGTCTCACTTCTCGCCTCGCAGCTGTCGGTCCCCGTGCTGGTCAAGATGAGGACCGTGCGGAGCCGCGAGGAGCCGGCGGCGGGCGAGGGCGTGGAGGGCGAGGGCGCAGCGGGGGAGACGGCAGCGGCGGGCGAGACGGCGGCGGCAGCGGCGGAGGCGGCCGAGGCTGCGGCGTACAAGCGGACCGTCGAGCTCGGGCTGGCGCTGCAGGCGGCGGGCTGTGCGCTGCTGACGCTGCACGGGAGGACCAAGGAGCAGCGGAGCATGCCTTGCGACTGGCGCGCGATCCGTGCACTCAAGCGCGCGCTGTCCATCCCCGTCGTCGCCAACGGCGGCGTCGAGGCGCCGGAGGACGTCGCGGCCTGTCTCAGCGCGACGGAGGCGGACGGAGTCATGTCGTCTGAGGCTGCCAGCGACAACCCTGCCATCTCCACACCTCCTCTGGCCGCCTGTTCACAGCTTCAGGTGCGAACAGGCCGCCCTCGAGAACCCGGCCATCTTCGAGGGGGTGGGTGCGAGTCGCGCGGGGCAGCTGGCGCTGGCGAGGGAGTACGTCGAGCTGGCGCGGCGGCACCCTCCGCGCTGCTCGTCGGTCGTCAAGGCACAATAAGAATCATTGTCATAATGATGAGGATGGTGATGAGGATGGTGGTGGAAAGGATGATAACAACAATCACCTCCTCCGCCCTTCTCGCCGGTCGTCAAGGCGCACCTCTTCAAGCTGCTCTACATGGCGCTCCAAGCGCACCACGGCCTGCGCGTGCGTCTCGGCTCGGCGAGCTCCTTTGCCGCGGCGTGCGACGTGGCGGAGGAGGTGATCGCGCTCGAGGAGGCGGAGGCGGCCCGGAACCCAGCGCCGATGGCGGCGCGCTGCGACGGGCCGGGCGCGCCGTTCCTCACGTGGTACCGCCGACACCGCTCGGACGGGAAGCAGAGCGTGGCTGTGGCCGGCACGCTCGCGGCAGAGGCGTGAGGAGAGCGGGCCTCCCCTGCTCGCCAACCTCTTCCGAGGCGTTGTGTGCGTTCTCGAGGGAGCCTTCCATGTACGGCTTTTTAGAGCAGTCGGTTGCGGGTCGCCGCCCTCCTCGTGCCTCTTCCCAGCGTTCCCTCGCGGCGATCGATGCCGTCTGCTCCCCGACTTGTCAAACATAATCTCAAAATTACTTTACGGTAGTCTAGACCGGACGCGGAACCATCCACATCATCACTGGCTCGCGGCAGTAAGGACACTCTCGCATCAGCTCAGAGCATGGCCCGCAAGCACACAGGTGCCCGCACGGAACCGCAGCATGCGACTTGACTCTCGCGAAACACACGATACACGTGGTCTCTCCCCCCATCGTGGACTCGGGGGCAGCCGGCCGCCCCGTGTCGAGGCCGGCGTCGGCTAGTGAGACGGCAGCAAACGGCTCGGTGACTGGCAGATGCTGCTCCTCCGCCTCTCCCGCCTCTGGCCCGATCAAGCGCTCGATGGCGCCGACCCGCTCCTCGAGGCTGCCCTCGGTCGCCGCGCCGAGGCTCGCCTCCAGCCGCTCGACACGCCGCACCAAGTCCCCGCCGCCGCCGGTCGACTCGCTGCTCACCGCCTCCTCGCACCGCGACACCCGACGCGCCAGCGCCTCCTCCGCATCCACCTCTGACCGGCGCAGCGCCTCTGCCAGCTCCGCATCCTCGCGCAGCGCCGCCCGCTCTGCCGCACCCGCTAGCTCTGCCGCCTCCCGCTGCGCCCGCCTCGCCGCCTCCTGCTCAGCAGCCAGCTGCGCCGCCCTCTCCTCCTGTGCGCGAACCTCTGCCGCAGCCTTCGCCCTCCGCTCCTCCTCGAGCGTGCAGGCAGACGGCGCCTTCTTGGCCTTATTGTTCTTCGCCTTGGCCTCCTTCTTGGCCGCCGTTGCCTCCGCCGCCTTTGCGCGCCGCCTCGCCTTCTCCTCCTCCGCCCTCCTGTCCGCAGCCTCCTTCTCGCGCCGGGCCGCCTCTGCCTGAGCGGCTTTGCGCGCCGCCGCGGCCGCCCGCTGCTCCTCTCGCTGCGCCTCCTCCGCTGCTCGCCTCTCCGCCTCCCTCGCCCGCAGCGTCTCCTCTGCTGCCGCGCGCTCAGCGGCCAGCTTCGCCTCCGCCTCCGCCGCAATGGCTCGCCTCTGTTCCTCCAGCGTCGCCGCGTCCGCCGCCCGGCGCGCCTCGTCCGCCGCCCGCTCTGCTTCGCGCCTGCGTGCCGCCTGCTCGCGCTCCCGCGCCGCCGCCGCCGCCTCCCGCTCGCGCTGCTCGCGCCGCCCCTTGACCTCGAGCGCCTTCTCTGCCGCCTTCTCTGCCGCCTCCGCCTCCCTCAGCGCCGCTGCGTGCTCTGTGAGAGCGCGCACGCACCCAGCGTGGTTCGTTTCGGGAGCACTGGCGGCGTTGGCAGTAGCTAGCACCTTGGCCGCTTGCTCCTTGGCGATCTGCAGCGCGGACCAGCCGTCTGCAGAGCGAGCCTTTGCATCCGCGCCAGCCCGAAGCAAGCGCCGTACGACGGCGGGGCAGCCGCTGTAGGCGGCGCCCATCAGGGCGGTGGCGCCGTCGCTGTCCTGCTTGTTGACCTCAGCGCCGTGCTGCAGCAGCAGCTCGACCACCCGCTCGTGGCCTTCCTGGGCGGCGCTCATCAGCGCGGTGTAGCCGCTGCTGTTCTGCAAGTTGACCTCAGCGCCGTGCCGCATCAGCAAATCCGCCACCCGCTCGTGGCCACTGTCGGCGGCGTATATCAGCGCGGTGCTGCCGTTGCTGTCCTGCAGGTTGACCTCAGCGCCGTGCTGCAGCAGCAGCTCGACCACCCGCTCGTGGCCTTCCTGGGCGGCGTACATCAGCGCGGTCCAGCCGTTGATGCTCTGCAGGTCGACCTCCGCGCCGTGCCGAATCAGCAGCTCGACCACCCGCTCGTGGCCGCTGTTGGCGGCGAGCATCAGCGCAGTCCAGCCGTCGCTGCTCTGCTGGTTGATCTCCGCGCCGTGCTGCAGGAGCAACTCGACCACCCGCTCGTGGCCGTTGCTGGCGGCGCACATCAGCGCGGTGCGGCCGGCGCTGCCCTGCAAGTTGACCTCACCGCCGTGCTGCAGCAGCAGCTCGACCACCCGCTCGTGGCCTTTGCCAGCGGCGAGCACTGGCGCGGTGTCGTCGTTGCTGTCCTGCAGGTTGACCTCAGCGCCGTGCTGCAGCAGCAGCTCGACCACCCGCTCGTGGCCGTTGAAGGCGGCGTTCATCAGCGCGGTGTTACCGTTGCTGCTCTGCAGGTTGATCTCCGCGCCGTGCCGAATCAGCAAACCGACCACCCGCTCGGGGCCGTTGCCGGCGGCGCACATCAGCGCGGTGTCGCCGTCGCTGTTCTGCAGGTTGACCGCTGCGCCGTGCCGCAGCAGCAACTCGACCACCCGCTCGTGGCCTTGATCGGCGGCGAGCATCAGTGCGGTGGCGCCGACGCTGTCCTGCAGGCTGATCTCCGCGCCGTGCTGCAGCAGCAAGTCGACCACCCGCTCGTGGCCGCTGCGGGCGGCGCGCATCAGCAGCGTGATGCCGCTCACGCCGCCTCTCTCGTACGTCGCGTCGACCCGCCCGCCGCCCTCGAGCCACGCCAGCAACGCCTTCTCCTCGCCTCGCTCAGCCGCTAGCACGGCCGCGTCGGAGCAGCTCAGGGACCCTGCGCAGCTGCTACGCGGGCGTGCCCCCGGGGGGCCGCTGCCAAGCTCGGGAGCACCCACCATCGTCTGGGTTCGGCTCTTGGCTGGTACCGGTACAAGATGGTTGCGTGCAGGAGACGCGACACACCACAACAGAACACTTTTTGGGGGGCATGTGTTTCGGCATCAGACCAAAGGCGCCCTCCCCGGCGAGTACAAAAGAAGAAGAACTTTTTCACGTATCGCAGCAATCCCACGCGTAACGCGCACGTGCGCGCAACCCGCCTAGCCCCAACGCTTGTCTCCAATAGCAGGCCCGCTCTCCGCGTCGTCCGCCTCCGGCAGCGGAGGGCACTGCGGGCTCGGGTTTGAGCTCGTGTCGCGTGTGGTTGCCTATTCGCCAAACAAGTAGGCTCGCTCCACTGGCCCATCTCGGGTTGGAGCCTGGTGCTGCGTGTGGTTGCGATCGAGAGCTCGCTCAGGCCGGCAGCTAGACCCGGGCTGCCGAGGCGGCCACTGGTGCGGCTGCACACGTCGCTGAGTCGCCTATTATTGTTGCGATGATTCCTTCTCCTGGAGTGGCCGGGTCAATCAGTACACCGCTCAGCCGCGTAAGCCGACGCCATCAGCACTGTGTTAGCTGCTCACCCTCTCGAGATTTGGGGAGATTTGGGGAGATATGGGGAGATATCCCGCATCTGGGCTATGCCGCCTCGGCAGCTGCGTCACGTGGCCTAAGGTAACAGGTAAGGTCAGGTAACGTCTCCCCTCACACAAGGTGGTACTGCAGGGCAAGGGCCAGGCGACCCTCGCGACTCCACGTCTAGACGTCAGGAGCCCCGCGGCATTTAAAGTGCAAGGCCCGGTGCGCGCGGGTGAGCGGTGTAAGTGTGCGTGCGTGCGTGTGCGTGCGTGCGTGCGTGCGTGCGTGCGTGCGTGTGTGCGTGCGTGTGTGCGTGCGCGCGTGCGTGTGCGTGCGTGTGCGTGTGTGTGTGTGTGTGTGTGTGTGTGTGTGCGTGTGCGTGCGTGTGTGTGTGCGTGCGTGTGTGCGCGTGATTGCGTGATGATGAGTGAGTGTGCGCCTCTCGAGGCTCTGCGCAGCAGCTCCACCCCTTGCGCGCTCGAGTGCCTAGGGACAGAGAGCGCGATCCCCATCAAGCAAGACTGAGGAGGAGGCGGAACAAGCTCGCCCCGTCCAAGCACGGACGACGGGGCACACGCACTCGCGGGGGCACTGCACACGAGGGCGGTGTGCGCGTTCTCAGGGAGGGGCATCACCACAGACACGAGGAGCCGTTATCACTCCATTCCGGAGCTATCTGATTGGGCAGTCACCTCTGGGCGAGGAAGCCGAGCGAGTCGTCGGTGCCGCTGCTCCACCTAAAGCACATCACCCACCAATAATAATAAGTGAAACAGCGAAACAGCGCGTCGTCCGCGCCGCTGCTCCGCCGAGAGGAGCCGCCCGACGACGGGTGCGAGGATCGCCGCTCGAGCTGCGCGTCGAGGGAGAGGCCGACGCTAGCCGACGGTGAGGAGGCGTCGGCAGCCGCTGGCGCATGAGAGCTGATGGCCCTGCCAGAGGCCATAGCCGAGGCTCGTCGGCCCTGGATAATCTCGTCACCGCCGCGCGCGAGGACAAGGGCGAGCATCTCCGCCTCGTCGCTCTCGCAGGCGAGGTGCAGCGGCGTCATCCGATACTTGTCGGGGACCCTGAGCTCGAGGCACGGCTGTTCGCGAGAGAGCACCTCGGCCGCCTCCACGTGCCCGCTGGCGACCGCGACGTGCAGCGGCGTCTGCCCGTCCTCGTCAACCTCGTCCAGCGGAGCGCCGGCCTCGACGAGTACCTCGAGGATCTCGACGTGGCGCTCCTCCGCCGCAATGTGCAGTAGGCCGGCCAGTGGGCTGCCGCTCGCAAGCGCCTCTCTCAAGCCTGCCACGTCGCCATTGCGTGCGAGCGCAGCGGCGGCTTGAGGCATGCTCACGGGAGGTGAAGGGCGCCGCCGTTGTGGGCATTCGCGAAAAAAAAAAGGCGCGGGCTCTAAAAGAGTAAGGCCGCACGTCTACTTCGTCATAGTGCCACGACGTGTGGCCTAGATTTAGCCCACGCGCCTCTGCTCGCAAACACTCACCCATTTGATTGTCACTGTCCGTGAGTGCGAGATTAGGGCTAGCCGCAGGCAGCTAGCCCATGAGGAGGGCGTCCATAGACACCTCACTAGACCCCACATACGGTCTCGTCCGTGCCTCGCCGGCCGGAGAGATTGCTAGAGGTGGAGCATGCTGCTCTAGCCTCACATGTCACTTCCTTTCGTCTGTTGTTTGGTGTGCTCTTGTTTGTTTCTCTTGGCACCGTGGAGTGCTGGGGGGGGCGACAGGGAGGATGTGGCCTTGAGTTATGTGTACGCCAACTCAGGGTGTGTGGCAGCCAGCTGGCTGTGTGTCTTGTGAGCTTGTTTGTGTCTGTGTGTCGCTCGTGCGTGTCGTCATCATCTGTCCAGCGTCCACCCATACCGCGTTGGTGTCCAGTCCGAGCCTGGCTGTTCTTCACCTTTCTACCTACCTACCTACCTAAGGAGTGCAAAAGGTAGAGCGAGGCACCCGGCGAGCAATATCCTGTACCGAGCGACTGGTAGAATGAGCGAGGTGATGAGCGACCCGGTGATGGCGGCGGACGGGCATCGATGCGTATGACGGTATGAGCGGTCGGCGATCGAGCGCTGTGGCTCGCGACCAAGTCGACGAGCCCGCTGACGGGCGGCGAGCTCGAGCACAGCATCCTGGCCCCCAACCACATGCTGCGCCGTCAGATCCGGCGACGTTGTGGGCATTCGCGAAAAGTTGTGCGCGAAAAGAATTTTACGACCAAACGCCCAGTTGTGGAGAAGTGTACCTTACCTAGAACATCGTCACCGTGCCGATGCAGGTGCTGCTCTAATTAACACGAATTAACACGAATTAACACGAATTAACACTAATTGACATCGCCACCGTGCCGATGCAGCCCGGCGAGGTGCTGCTCTGCGACAACTACCGTGTGCTGCACGGGCGCGACATCTTCGACGGCGACCTCCCCACACCTCCCCACACCTCCCCATACCTCCCCATACCTCCTCGTACCTCCCCACATCTCCTCATACCTCCCCATACCTCCCCCCACATCTCCCCACATCTCCCCACATCTCCCCCCACCCCTCCCCACACCTCCCCACACCTCCCCACACCTCCCCACACCTCCCCACACCTCCCCACACCTCCCCACACCTCCCCACACCTCCCCACACCTCCCCACACCTCCCCACACCTCCCCACACCTCCCCACACCTCCCCGAGAGCAGGCGACCGCCTGCACGCCGTCTCCTGGTTCGGCGACGAGAAGCTGCAGGACGACAGCGCGGCCAACAAGCCGGGCGACCTGTTCAACGTGGTGCTCAACTCGGCCTTCTGACGGTGGCGCACCCACTTATTGGGGGGGGGGGGGGGGCGGTACGCCAAACGCCATGCACATGCAGCATGGGCTCGAAGCCGAGCGTGGAACAGTGTTCAGTGTGTCACTGCGACCGTGCGAGTTTCAGCTTTCACTTGACACTTCTGAGCTTCACAGGAGTTTCCCTGTGAGGGAGGCAGTACGCACACGCACAAATTATACACACACGGCACAGTCCACAGCGCCCCGCCCGCGCCGTGACTGTGTGGACGGCTGCCGCGACGGCTGCCGTGACCGTGGCGGCTGCCGCGCACCTGCCACCTGCCACGCCCGCCACGCGAGCCGCCGCGCCGCCGCCGGGCTCCGGTGGTGGGGATCCTAGGCTCCGCACACCGCATCGGTCGGCCTCGTGGCGCAGCCACAGCAGCCTCTCTTTCGTGGCACTAATAGCTCGGACCGGCCGCCGCCCAAGCGAAGACCGTCAGAATTGGAGGCTCACAGCACACGAACGGCACCAAGTGATTTGCGGGCTAGTTCAATTTGATGTACGACTGCTGGGTGACGATCGCTCGGGCCCGAGGGTTGGGTAGGCCAACCCCGCGAACACGAGCAGCGCGTTGATTTGCGAGGGAGCGGGCATGGGACCTGCGCGCCTTCTCTCTCTCTCTCTCTCTCTCTCTCTCTCTCTCTCTCTCTCTCTCTCTCTCTCTCTCTCTCTCTCTCTCTCTCCCTCCCTCCCTCCCTCCCTCCCTCCCTCCCTCCCTCCCTCCCTCCCTCCCCCCCCCCCCCCTCGCTGTCTGTCTCTCTCTCTCTCGGTCTCGGGCACCGTACCCATACTACTCAAAAGTACAATATACTACCACAAAGCACCACTAGCGATTTCGCGCGGAGGGCGTAGTGAAGCGCTGGGGCGCTCACTGTGTGTTATTCGGGTGGGGATCCATCAGTGGTAACCGGCTTTAGTCACAGATCCAAGCTCAGACGCCACACCAACACCACAAACACGCTCACTTCGCCGCTGCTGTAGATGGGCCGCCGGGGGCCCATACTACGTCGAAGTACGGACCCGATCTCGGCACTCACGGGCTGCCACGCGCCCGCACGCGGCGCGGGCCGCACCGCCCATGCCCCTGGGTCACCGACCCCGCCTCTCGGCCCTCTCGGCCCTCAGGAGCGTGCGGGAGACCGGCGAGGGGCGCGCTGCGCGCCGCCTGCAGAGCCGCCAGAGGCATTGCCGCCTCCGCTGGCGGGGTTCCCGCGCGCCCGCCCGCGCCCGCCCCCGCCCCCGCCGCGCCCGCGGGCTCCGGATGCGCCGCCCTCCTTCTCCTTCTTCTCAATGGCAGTCCGCGCGTGCTTGTCGACGGGTGGTCGGCGTGGTCGAGGGGAAGGTCGCCGGCGGCCGCAACCGTCTGCCGCCGTCGCTCCGCCGGCTCTGACCGAGTATCGGGCGTTGAGGGCGGCGGCGCAAAGCGGGTCTGGCGCATCCATCGCCCGCACGGTAGCGGTAAAAAAATTAGAGGCCCGGAGACTACCTACGAGCACAAAGATCGCAAGGGCGGGGACCTGTTCCTCTTTTTATCCATCTCACAGTAGAGAGGTGTCCGTTTTTTTATTTATTTACGAGCGTATTACAGATCTATATTACACCGAGGGCGGATGGCGTGCCCTTGATCAGACGATTCCCCAGCCGTGTTTCTGACATCCTTCTTCATGTGTGTGGTGCGCTGCCGGTGGTATGATGGCACTGG